GCTCACCCGATGCTGAAGTTGGTCTCGGTTTCTGTGAAGAACCACGATGAGGAACATGGGTCGGGTCGGGTGAAGGTCTTTTCCTTGACCCACCACCCGGAAGTTCAGCAGAGGTGACAGAAGACATTGGAGGTGACGAAGTGGTGGTGGCGGCGATAGCGGCGGCGCGTGAGATACTTTGAGGAGTCTTTGGAGGTATCCTCATGATGAACAAAAGGCGTAAAACTCAGTTGGTAAATGCAGTGTTTGTATTCTTAGACACTTTTCATTTCTGAAAGTTCTAACGTAATTTATAGCAAAATTTCTTACACAATTTTCACTTTCACTTACTAAGGTACTAAAATGCTTACCATAAATCAAAATTTTGACACAATCTCTATCAAATTACTTTTTCAACCAGTAATTCATTATTTTAATATTCTTATTATATTATCATTCAAAAACAGGATATCTGAAGATCACATCCTAAGAGTATAATCAAGGTTATGACCTGGATCACCTTCTACGTGGGATAAGTAATACTAAGATTTTTGGTATAAAAATAATAATATTAATTTTAGCTAATACCTCCAACCAAACACGGGAAATAAATATAATTCTAAATTTTATACCGAGATAATCTACTTAATCTCTTGAACCGATGGCCCATGATGATATATAGTGTTATAAAAGGCATGGGCAAGAGGCAAGGCGTTTATCCAACACGGGCGGCGCAAAAACCATGAGGCGCAAGGCGTAACATGGGTATTTAATTTTAAACATTTTATAAATTAAAAAATAAATATTTAAATTAAAATATACATTAAAAGTGTAATACATTCAAGAAAATTATAAAATTGGTAGAAAAAAATGTATATATCTATTTTAAACATGCTAAGATGTGCATGGACCATATAAAAGATTTTTTTTTTACTTAAAAAGGTGAAAGACGTAAAGATGCTTTACACCTATAATTAACATGACAATGATAGGACATACTAATTAGAGTTATAAAAATGATATTCTAGTTCCTAATAATTCAAAGAATAAAAATAAAAATAATATAAAGTTATTGTTTAAAAATCTAAAACTAGATAATAAATCACAAATCATTGAATAATATAAATAGCCATAATAGAGTCATCAAAATAATATATAAACTAGAACGATACCAAAAGAAACTCTTATTTAAAACTAACATGAAAAAAATAAATTTAAAAAAAAAAACTTAAAGAAAATGAAGCATAAAGAAGAAAAATTCAAGCGTGAAAGCAAAATAAGAATTGGAGAACAAAACTTGTTGCTTTTTAGCATGCACTTTGCCAACAAAGGTTTAAAGTGTATTTATTACTCCGTTGTAAACGATAAAGATAAAGATTATGAAATTGGGATAAACAATTAGAAAAAACCTTTCGCTTTTGAGAATTTTAGTTTGAAAATTTAGTATGAGTTAATTTTTGGTTGTTTAAGTTAAACAAAAAAGATTTATTAAGCAACTTTCGCTCAAATTTGGAAAAGTTCTCGGGGCTTACGCCCCAAATGAATGCCTAGAACGTTGGGGTTTACGCCTAGGCGACACCCAAAATGTCAGGGCTTACACACCACTATATGGGTCAAAATCGGACTGAAATCAGGCGTGGGAAGGTCGTTAAGTGAGAAGAGGTCGACTTTGGGCGGCAAAGCCGAGGTTGATCGAAACCCAACAACGAGCAATCACTGAGCAAGCCGTTGAAGCTGAGGTCGAATAGCGAGGAATAGGAATTACGGCTAGTGCTGTCTCGGGACTAGATATGGGAATATTCCCTTTGTTGTACTTTTTAGGGTTTTTAGAGAACATCCCATGTAAATAGAAAAAAAGAGAGAGGAAGGAGGCACGTGAGATTCATTCTGAAAAAACCATTGTAAGAAGTTGACCCTTGAAAGAAAATACAAAGTTCACCTTTCCATAGTGATTGATTTTATCGATTATTCTTCCTTTCCACTCACATAATCCAAGAAAGCATTGTTCATATTCTTGTTTACTGTCACATTTCGTTATCAGAAGGAAGAATTTTCCACATCATTTGATATTTTGGTGAATTGTTCTTCCTATTTACATTTATTGTCATTTCCCATATTTATTGCTCATCATTCATTCTTCATTTATTCTCCAAAGTGCGCATTTAATGATTGAATAGACAACTCTGAGCACTAGGTAAACGCTATCACTTAAACTCTTAGCTAGATCTAAGAATTATTGGTCACGACCTAATCAAGAAAGACATTAGCCTTACGTCAGAGGCACTCTCGTGCCGCCTCCACGTCACGACGAAGGTCCATCCAGGCCACGAACGGGAATCCACCGAAATGAAAGAGGTATGCCCCCTTATTATCAGTTCACATTTTTTGTGTTTCCCCTTCAAAAATAGTCTAAGCATTGGAAAAACTCGGCCCAAAGGTAAAATGGCCATAGAAGATGAAGTCCAACCCAAGCACTAGAAAGTCAAACGCCCTTTGCAAATTTCACCAGGAACAGGGTCACAAGACCGAGGACAGCATCACCCTTAGACAGGAGGTCGTGAACATGCTTCACTAAGGGCACCTAAAAGAGTTGATGAGCGATCGAGGGAGGGCCAACTTTGCCCGAGGGCGAGAACAGCATCAGGGGCCCCCCAAACCACCTTCCCCGGTTCGGACCATTCAAATGATTATTGGAGGAGGCGACGACGCATCCATCAACAACGTGAAGTTCACCACTACTCACAAGCTCAAGCGGTCAATCACCCACGACCGGTATGACGAACTCAAAGAAAGTATCATCTTCGATAAGCCGGATACCCACGGTTTGGTATTTCCTCACTATGACTCCCTTGTCATTACTTTACGTATTCTTGATACTGATGTAAGACGTATCAGGGTCGATGATGGAAGCGGCGCAAACATCATCCATCCTTAAGTTCTCACCTAAATGAAGCTCGAGGACAGGATAATGCCACGTTGCATCACACTAACAGGTTTTAACAATGCAGTTGAGCGGACATCTGGAGAAATCACACTATCTGTCTTGGCCGGCGACGTCACCTTGGAGAACACATTCCACATCATGGACCAGGATACAATATACAACCCCATCATAGGCCGACCATGGATACACGCCATGAAAGCCATCCCTTCTAGCTTGTACCAGATCATTAAATTTCCCACCCTTTGGGGAAAATTCTGTATTCGAGGAGAGCAATGCACGGCCCGAGAATGCTACCGCATCGCCCAAGACTGCATGTACACCCAACTGTTGAAAGGATAAGTCGAGGAAGCATATCAATTAACAAAATCGAGGTCGGACGGATATGAAAAGGACGTCATCAGCGACCCTGAAATCATAGAAGCCACGGGGTCAACCGTAGAGGACCTTGACCTCGTCCAATTAGACTGATGACCACAACAAGAAAGCTTTCATTGACCATAAACTCCAAGATCCAGGTAAATTTCATCAATTCTTAAAAAATAACGTAGACCTATTTGCTTTTTCACATGCAGACATGCCAGGTATCCCGAAGGAAATAGCAACTCACAAGTTCAACGTCAACCCGTTTTACCCACAATAAGGCAAATCAGACGAAAGCTCAACTCTGCAATAAACGACACAGTTCGTAAAGAGGTTAAGAAATTGTTAGTGAACGGTTCTATTAGAGAATCGAAATACCCTCAGTGGGTCGCCAATGTAGTCATGGTGAAAAAGAAGAACGATAAGTGGAGAATGTGCGTGGACTTCACAGATCTGAACAAAGCCTGCCCAAAAGACTCATTCCCACTACCCCATATCGACCAATTCATCGACGCCACAACCGGGAACGAACTACTGAGTTTCTTTGATGCCTAATCAGGCTACAACCAAATCCTCATGGAGGAGGAGGATCAGGAAAAAACCACTTTCATAACCCATTAGGGGACGTAGTGCTACAGAGTGATACCGTTCGGGTTAAAAATGCGGGGGCAACATACCAGAGGCTGGTGACCAAAATGTTCAAAGATCAACTCGGTAAGATCATGGAAGTATATATAAACGACATGTTGGTCAAGTCAAAGAGAAAGGAAGACTATATCGACCACATGAGGGAAGCCTTCGACATACTCAGAAGGTACAACATGAAATTAAACCCCGGGAAATGTGCTTTCGGCATGACATCGGGAAAATTCCTCAACTTCTTGGTATCACAACGAGGCATCGAGGTCAATCCTGACCAAATCAAGGCCATAGAAGGGATCCCAAAAAAACTGACCAGCAAAAAGCAAGTGCAAAAGCTGACCGACCGGATAGCCTCCCTATCGAGATTCATCTCGCGATCCTCCGGTAGATGCCACAAATTTTTTGGCGTACTCAAAAAGGATAACAGACTCCAATGGAATTCCGAATGCGTCAACGCCCTAAAAGAATTAAAGGCCTACCTGTCTTCGCCGTTGTTGCTAGCTAAGGCAGAACCCGAAGAGCGCCTCCTCGTCTACCTTGTTGTGTCCGACATCGCAGTAAGTGCCGTCCTAGTACGAGAAAATAAAGGTACGCAATCTTCGATCTATTACATTAGCAAAACTTTGGTCGACGCTGAAATGAGGTACCCCCACCTCTACAAGTTAGCTCTGACCATGGTCGTAGCTTCGCGGAAGCTTAGACCTTATTTTTAATGCCACCCCATCTCGGTGGTCACGACTTTTCCTTTAAGGAGTATCTTGCACAAACCCGAATTGTCGGGTAGATTGGCCAAGTGGGCCATAGAGCTGAGCGAACACGAGTCGCGAACAACGATAAAGCCGCAAGTTCTTGCTGACTTCGTTGCCGACTTCAGTGCGAAGATAATGTCCGCGGTCGAAAGGGAAACCGCCATCACCTTTACCAAAGTACACGACCAATGGGTTTTATACACCGATAACGCTTCTAACGCATCAGGATTTGGACTGGGACTCGTAGTCGAGGTCCCAACAGGCGAAATGGTTCGCCAATCCATACGATGCCCTGATATGACTAACAACGAGGCTGAGTATGAGACCTTGATTACAGGGTTAAAATTAGCACTCAAGTACGAAGCAAGGTGAGTCATCCTTCGATGCGACTCGCAACTCTTCGTCAATCAGGTCACAAGGAATTTCCAAATTAAGGATCCATGGTTACAGATATATCAGGCCGAAGTTTGCAAACTATTACCCGAGTTCGACGAATGCCAGCTCGATCAAATACCCCCGAGCGTAGAACATCGAAGCAGACAGCCTCGCCAAACTTGAAGCGGCCACCAAAAGCATAACCGGAGAGGGAGACATGGTCACTCTCCTCCATTCACCACTAGACCAAATCGAGGTACGATCTATAAATCTAACTTGGGACTGACGCAATTGTATTACCTCATACTTGCAGGACGAAGTGCTCCTACTTGACAAAAAAGAAGCCAAGAAACTTCGAATGCAGGCGACCAGGTACAACATCGTTGATAACAACTTGTGCAAAATAATATTTGGTGGTCCCCTAGAAAAGTGCTTAGGACCAAATCAAACACGGCGCGTCCTCGAAGAAGTACACGAGGGCCACTGCGGAGCTCATACCAGCAACTGAGCTCTCTTCAGATGCCTCATACGAGCAGACTACTATTGGCCCACGATGAAAAAGGAAGTCGCCGACTTCGTCAAAAGGTGCGAGCAATGCCAAATATACGCCCCCATAATTCACCAAGCGGTTTAACACCTTCATTCAGTCACCTCGCACTGGCCTTGCATCAAATAGAGAATGGACATTTTCGGACCCCTCCCGGCGGGACGAGGTAATGTACGATTTCTTTTAGTTTTAATTGACTATTTATCTAAGTGGGTAGAAGCAGGTGCATTCACCCAAATACGCGAGCATGAAGTAATCACCTTCATATAAAGAAATATCATATGCTGCTTCGACATCCCCAAAGAAATCAGCTGCGACAACAGTCCCCAGTTCACCGGGAAAAAGACCGCCGAGTTCTTCGAAAAATGGCACATCAAAGAATACTCTCCACGCCATATCACCCCGTAGGTAACGGTCAGGCGGAATCCTCTAACAAAACAATATTGAACATCGTGAAAAATAAGCTCGAGAACGCCAAGGGACTGTGGCCGGAACTACTGCCGAAAGTGCTATGGGCATATCGCACTACGGCAAAAACGAGCACAGGAGAAACACCATATTCATTAGTCTATGAGAGTGATGCAGTAATACCGGTTGAAGTCGGGGAACCAAGCCTAAGGTACTCAAACGAGAGCGGGCCAAGCAACGATGAAAAATGAAGTCAAGACCTCGACGAAGCCGAAGAGCGGAGAGACATGGCCTACATAAAAATGATAGCCCAAAAACAACAAGCAGAATGATACTGCAACAAAAAAGCCAAAATCAGGCCACTCAAAGTCGGGGACTACATACTTAAAACCAAAACACAAGCGTGTAAAGGCCCACGAGAAGGCAAACTAGGAACGAATTGGGATGTCACATACAAAATCACGGCGGCAGTAAGCAAAGGGTCATTCCAACTGGAAACAATGGAAGGAAAATTACTAGCAAACAATTGGAACGTCGCCCACCTCAAATACTTCAACTTCTAAGGACAGTCGTCCCCCGAATCGTACTCTTTTTTCCCTTACCCGAGTTTTGTCCTAATTGGGTTTTCTTAGGGAGGTTTTTAACGAGGCGACGAAGGGAGCGTCTCGAAGTTTTAGGTAAAAGTTCATCGCTCAACCTATCAACTACTTTTCCAGGCCGACCAATGAAGGGACTAGATGGACTGAGACTTTTGTAAACTTGTCCAATGTATGCATGAACAGAGCAAAAACATGTAAACTTCCCCAATGAATGTATAGACAAAGCAAAAATCGCAAACACATGAGTTTTTTAATCTCTGCCAAGTTCATACATTACGCCAAGTTAAGAGTCAAACATTCGACCTCGCTCGAATCGACCCATATTCGAACTCGCTCGAATTTATTTACATTTGACCTCGTTCGAATCACTTGAGTCAAATATTCGACGGCGCTCGAATCGACTCACATTCGACCTCGCTCGAATTTATTCACATTTGACCTCGCTCGAATTTATTTACATTCGACCTCGTTCAAATCACTTAAGAGTCAAACATTCGACCTCGCTCGAATTTATTTACATTCGACCTCGTTCAAATCACTTAAGAGTCAAACATTCGACCTCGCTCGAATCGACTCACATTCGACCTCGTTCGAATCACTTAAGAGTCAAACATTCGACCTCGCTCGAATCGACTCACATTCGACCTCGTTCGAATCACTTAAGAGTCAAACATTCGACCTTGCTTGAATCGACTCACATTCGACCTCGCTCAAATAGATTCATGTGAACATGATTGTAACTTCACTCATTTGCATGAGATCTTTTAGGTGCATTAGTTAAATGATTATGGGGCTGATAATTTTTGGTGAAAGATTGTTCTACATATAAAGTAGATGAAAATGGGGAGCCCATGGGCAAGGGCTCGGAGTGCACAGATGCCGAAGCACGCCAGAGGTGCGCGCTGCCTACCACAATCAAGGAGATGGCATTTCACGAGCGTATCAAAGCCTGGGCTTTGGACGCCTCCTAGTCTATGCTAGTTCATGCCCTAAGTCTATCGATGTACCGGCTCAACACCGTTCCACATCCAATCGGGGCGCATCGTCGATCCCCATCCACCTCCCTTGGTGACGTAGTGGAATAGTAAAAAAAAAGGCTGTAACATTGTATAGACTAGGGGTGTACATGGATCGGGTTGGTTCGATTTTCATCAACTCAATATCAAACCACATCAAACCAAACCTACTTGAGTTTTTAATCGGTTTGGTGCAATTTTTTGGTTTGGTCTGTACACACCCCTAGTATAGACCACAACTCGGGGGTCTTTTTGAAGAATCTTATGACGTCTTGAGCACATTTTATTTTCAGCTACTTACAAATGTAGCTACCATTTCTAGTTTCAGTTCAATCTCCTTATAGCTTTTCTGTAGAGCTCAATTGAGGAAATATGAAAACTTACCACTTGATATGATCACAGCCGTTGAATAAATCCTTACAAGGCTAAAGAAAAATCAGATATGAAAGCTCTGAGAATTTCCATTTGTTTTGTATCATTATCCAAAGGAATTCAGTACACGCACGCTGACACAAGCTTCTTTCTGAAATATGAACAAAACAAATTCTATGTTATATGAAGTACATTTTCCAATTCGAGCTTTAGGCCTTGTTTGTCCACAATTTATTTTTTTATTTTTTTCAAAAATGTTTTTGTCCATGAAATTTTGTAAGTTCTTGAAAAAAAATTCAAAAATGAGTTTTTCAAAAATCAAAAAGTGTTTCAAAATCCACTACTTATTTCTGAGATAATATACTAAATTTTTTTCTCTAGGAAGAAAGAGAGAATTAGAGGTTTGAAGAAGTGGTTGAAAAATGGTGGTGACAAGGTTAAGCTTGGCTCGAAGAAGGTCTCTCCAAAATAGTAGCACTAGCTCATCATCTCCAAAACTCAAACGTTGTTACAAGAAAAAAAGGATTTCCATGAAAGTCTGTGGGCTTAGCAGTAAGTTTTCTTTACTTACTTTTATGTTTTTCAGTTTTCTTGAAGAGTGTATTTAGCTTTTTGTACTAGCTGTTATAGCACAAACCTTAGGTGCCCTTTTCTTTCTTGTTTCTTCAGTAAAACATAAAAATTGGTTCTTTATCCTTCGTTAATTTCACAGACTACTGAGAACTTAGGAGTTAAGTTTTCTTTCTTAGATAAAGTGTTGGATGAAGAAAATTAATTATCCTAAGATTTAAGCAAATTCTTGGTTGTAATAGGCAGGACAATGATAAGCTGATATTTGGAAAAGGAAATTCTTGGTTGAGGCGATAACTTTTCCTCTTTGTTGTTGACAGTATACTCATGTCCACTACTTAATCTAAATACATTGTAAATTTGTAACAGAAATGGAGATCCATAAAACTTTGGGAACAATAATGAACAAGAAAGAGACTTCACATAGCAAAATATTGTGATACTTTGGAATAAATTTTGCAGAAACAGGTCATGAAAATCTGAATAAAGTTAAATATTGAAGCACAATATTTACTGCTAAAGCAAAATATTATCTTGTTAGTGCAAACTAATCAAGAGATTCATCCCTGCATACATTTCTTTGAAATCATCAACCTGCATACACAAATTCTGTGTCTTGCATTTTTTGTATTATTACTACAGTCTCATCTGATTCATTATTTCTTTCAATATCTTAAACTAAACTTTTCTTAATGTTAAAGCGCCCAGGAAAACTCTAGCAGTTGCCTCACCTCATGTCCCACCGGTGGGATCAAATGGAGATACTCCTTTGCAGAAACTTTCGCCGCGCATTCATATTGCTCCAAAGATAGTTCCCTCACTTCCTGTGCCACCATTGGGTTCAAATGGAGATCATACTCCTTTGCAAAAAGTTTCGACGAGCTCTATTGGGCTCAACCATAGATGCCCCTGTGCCAATTCCTTGTGATGAAGAGGACGAACAAAGAGAGACAAATTTAAAGCTGAATCCTTTATCGAGACTGAAGAAACCGCCAAAGACAAATTATACAGCCCAGATCATTGATGAAGAATGTAATTATCAAAGTCGAGTCTTTGTTAGTGAACGAGCTGCTTACTTCTTGGAATGTTGATCACATACCTTTACCTATTTGAATGGGCTTCGTGTTGATTATGTCTCTTGTTATAGAGATATCACTGGATATATTTCGTCTCGCTACAATATGCAAATTGCAGAAAGAGAAGAAAGCATGCTGTCTTTATCAATATTAGTGAAAAATCATGAAAATGCTGTACTTAATGCAATTGATCGTGTCAAATATATTGGTCACGCTAAAAAAGAACCCGAGAAGGCTAAGGAGAAAAAGGAAAGTTTGGACAGGTAAATAGAAGATCTGAAGCTAGAACTAGCATATATCAAACATGACGTTCTACGTCTGAAACAGATTGAAATAAAATGTAAAGAAGCTCATGAAGTTGCAAAAGCCAAGGAGCAAGAACTTGGAATTCAGTTGGAGGCAGCTCAAGCAAAGCAAAAGAGAATTGAGGAGCGCAAGAATGAAGCTCGTCGAGGAATTAAATCACCAGCCTAAGCCTACAAGTCTATAAATCTTGATGATTTCTGTTAGTTGGATTTTTGGAATTTCATTTTTTTCTAACAGCAAACAGGTTGTTTCTTTGTTCAGTTATTGCATGTTGTATATCCTCCTCAAGTTTTCAGGGACTTTAATTATCTTTAGATTCTCCTTGGGGTTCGTTTGGTATGATGGATGAACAAAATTTCGGGATAAAAATTTAGTACTACTGCCTTATATCTTGTTTGGTTTCTAATCCAGGGATAAGTTATCCCAGAATTAAAAAAAATACCTCAGGATAAGTCCTCCCAGGATAAAATAATAAAATTGATAATCTCACAATTAATACAACATACCAAACAATCAATAAGAAATAATACAAGAATACCTAATCTCAGTATAATGAATCTGATGGGTTTTCAATGTCTTCGTCTTATGTTTTGATGATCTAACAAACTTACTGTCAAGAACCAGATGGGGAACCTGACACACTTGGTACACATTACAAATGAACGGATTCCAGCCAGGACTCCAGCTAATGTGAACTGCTGCAAGTGTAGAAAATAGAGAAACAAGTCAAAGACCTGATCCCTTGTGTTTGCCTGACAACAGTACGAAAGTCAACTGTGCACCGCTGGAAAGTGACTGCCATAGAAACAGTGCACACAGTGCAACAGTTCTGCAGTCACTTTCCCTTGGCCTACCAAGTGCTTACATCATTCAAGTGATGTCATCAAGGGTGCATTAACAAGAGCATTATAACAAAACATCACTTGAACATTTGAGAATTCACTTCAAGCTTTCAAGTCTTTGGCAAACAATGAACTTAATTCTCAAGAGCTTGAAGAACAAAGTTAAACGCGACTGCGGACCAATTCCTAAATCGAGTATCTGTTGTCCTTAGTTGAGTTGTAACTTTGTGATTGTTCTTATTGTAATTCCTAAATTGCTTAGCTAGAAGCGCTACTTAGGAACTCCTTTGTAAAATCATAAACTTTCTGAGTTTGTGTTGTGACTAGAGTTAGTCATAAGTTAAAGTATTTGTAACTAGTGAGTGACAAAGTGGCTTGTGGTAAGTGTATCACAAGTTAGTTGAGTTGAAATCTTTGTAATAGGGTTATTACAAAGTGGCTTGTAATAGAGTATTTACAAGTTAGTGAAGTTGAAAGCCTACAAGTATAGGTCGTGGTTTTTGTCTCCTTGAGTGAGATTTTTTCACGTAAAAATCTCGTGTCTTATTTACTTACTATTTCATTAGTATTCTCAGTTGAAACTCATAGAGGAACAAGTATTCTATAGTTTGGTGGACTCATATAAACTAACAATTGGTATCAGAGCGGGTTCCTCCTATCAAGTTAACACCTATGAAGGATCTGTATGGCTGCTCCACCAAATTTCGAAGGAGGTCAATCTACGTATAGACCACCCAGGTTCAATGGGCAATACTATGGGTGGTGGAAGATAAGAATGCATGATTTTATTATGGCTGAAGATTCTGAATTGTGGGATGTCATATGTGACGGTCCTTACATCCCAACAAAGGCTCTTACAGAACTTCCATTCTCAATGCCAAAAACCAGAAAAGAATACACCGACGCAGATAGGAAAGCTGTGGAGAAATATTTTTGTGCCAAGAAAATTTTGGTATGTAGAATAGGACCTGATAAATACAATAAAATTTCTAGTTGTGATACTGCAAAGGAGATATGGGAAGCTCTGCAAACAGCACATGAGGGAACCACGCAAGTAAAGAAATCCAAGATTGATATGCTCACCACCGAGTATGAACTATTTAAGATGAAGGATGATGAATCTATTCAAGATATGCACACAAGATTCACCTCTATCATAAATGAGTTACACTCACTTGGTGAAATTATTCCCAGAAACAAGCTAGTGAGAAAAATTCTCAGTATCCTGCCCAATTCCTGGGAAAGCAAGGTGAATGCTATTACTGAAGCAAGGGACCTGCAGGAGCTGACCATAGACGAGCTGGTTGGAAATCTGAAGACCTACGAGATGAAGATGAAGATAGACAATGCAAGAAGAGAACCAAAGAAAGAAAAGAACCTAATACTCAAAGCTGAAAGTAATGACTCGAGTGAGGAAGACAGTGACATGGCTTACTTAACCAAAATATTTCAGAAGATGATCAAAAGGAATGGAGGAATACTAAGAAGGGGCAACTCCAGCAAACCAAAGAACTATAATCTCTACCATAAGTGTGGAAAGTCTGGACACTTCATCAAAGACTTTCCTTTCCTGAAGCAAGAGTACTCCAAGTACAACCCCGAGAAAGTAGACAAGAGGAACCCGGTTCCTGACAAGGACTTCAAGAGGAAGAGATCTGCTGACAATGTGGTGAAATAGGCTCTTGCAGCATGAGGACACTCCTCTAGTGAGTCTGAAGATGAAACTGATGCATGTGATAACTCCATGATGGTAGTTGAAAGTGAGAAAAATGAATATGATTCAATATTTTCTTTGATGGTCCAATCAGATGATGATGAAGACGATGACAAAAGTGAGGTAAATTTCAAGGATATTCAGAGAAATTTGAAATCCTACTCTCGTAAGAAACTCATGTCTTTAGCTAGTGTATTGATTGATGCCTATCATAGTCTTGTGGAGGATAAGGATGCCTTGACCTTAGAGCTAGGAGAAGCTGAACAAATTATAGATGATCTGGTAGTGTGCGTAGTTGATCTAAAGGAAACTATTTGTGAGCTGGAGAAAGAAAAACTTATTTTAACCAAAAAAATTGCTAACATAGACATGAAAGAGATGACTTAGTGGTTGTAGTTGTTGACCATAAGGAAACCATTGAAAACTTCAGAAAAGAAAGAGAAGCCTTTATGAAGAGAGTGACTTAGATTGAGGAAGAAAGAGATGATCTCTTGGTAGTATTTGCAGACCTAAGGGAAACAATAGAGGGACTAGGGACTGAGTCAAAACCTGGAAACTTTGGAAAAGGAAAAGAGGTAGCCAGTGAGGAACACATTAGGCTTGAAAATGAGTTGAAGGCTGTGAGAACTAGTCTCTGTGTTGAATCTAAGAAAAACAAGCATCTCCAGACTAAATTGGAAAGAGTAAAAAATGATCTTGAAAAGTCCCTAAAGTGGACCTGGTCCTTAGAAGCTATCACTGCCATATACGTTAATAATGGTGGAAACAGGCAGGGAATAGGGTTCCAAAGGGAGAAAACCCCTTACAACCTCCATAGCAAGTACATTACTGTACCAGATAACTGGCTGTGTACCCACTGTGGGAACAATGGGCATTTCAAGAAAAATTGCCAAGCAAAGGTTCAGTCCGTTCAGAAAAACAAAGTGTTTGCTGAAAATGTAACTACTAAAAGGGACCAGGTTCCACCCACAAAAAACACATATTACCTGCATGGACTAAGAGAGCTCTTATTCATCCTCTTGTCTACTACAAAGGACCCAAACTTACTTGGGTTACTAAAACTAACTCTTGATCTCATTGTGTAGGGAACAGTGAAAAGAAGCAGTCAACAATGGTTCATGGATAGTGGATGTTCAAAACACATGACTGGGAACACAATGGACTTTCTTTCACTAAAATCCCTGCAAGGAGGGAGTGTATCCTTTGGAAATGAGAAAAAGGGGTACATTCTTGGAGCTAGAAAAGTCGGGAAATCACTCACTCACTCTATTGAGAATATGTACTATGTCAATGGTCTTAAGTACAGTCTCTTGAGTGTCTCTCAAATTTATGATAAAGGAAACAAGGTAAAGTCCTTGTCCAAGATATGTATAGTTACTAATCTAGTAACTGGTGAAGTGGTACTTGTGGCCAAGAGATACAAGAACATCTATGTCACTGATTTCGAGTTCATACAAAGTGGTGATCTGAGTTGTCTGAAAGTTGTTGATGATGATGCTGAACTCTGGCACAGAAGATTGGGGCACACAAGCTTCTCTCTTCTGAACAAACTAATTCAGAAGGACCTGGTCCATGGTCTGCCCATGTCAAAGTTCAAAGTACAGAAAGTATGTGATGCATGTGCTAGAGGAAAGCATGTAAAGTCCTCTTTTAAGTCTACAAAGGATGTAATCACCTCAAAGCCTCTTGATCTTCTGCATATGGATTTATGTGGCCCTATAAGAGTGCAAAGCAGGGGAGGAAAAAGATACATTTTTGTGATAGCGGATGGCTACTCCAGATTCACATGGACTCTGTTTCTTAGAACAAAAGATGAAACCTTTGAAGTGTTTGTGGCTTTTGTGAAGAAAATCCAAGTGGAGATGAAGTCTAGAGTCGCATGTATTAGATCAGATCATGGAACAGAATATGACAATGCCAAATTTGATGGGTTCTACAATGAAAATAGCATTACTCACAACTTATCAGCTCCAAGAACTCCCCAGCAAAATGGAGTAGTGGAAAGGAAGAATAGAACTCTTGAAGAAATGGCAAGAACAATGTTGATCGACAGTGGGATTGCAAAGAACTTATAGGCTGAAAATGTCAACACTGCATGCTACTTGGTGAACAGGTGCATGATCAGATCTCTCCTGAACAAAACCCCCTATGAGTTGCTGAATGGAAGGAAACTCAAGCTGTCTCACCTAAGAACATTTGGGTGCAAATGATATATTCTCAACAATGGAAAGGATCAGCTTGGCAAATTTGATGCCAAAAGTGATGAAGGAATCTTTCTGGGATATTTTTTTCCAAGCAAAGCTTACAAGATATACAACAAGCAGACTCAATGTGTTGAGGAAAGTGTTCATGTTATCTTTGATGAGTCATATCCTTTTTGTGAGAAAAATGCTAAAGATGATTAAGATGGAGAGCCCTTACTGGTTCCTGGTGAAGTCATTGGCATGACAAATGGAAAGGCAGATATGATGAGCCAAGTGAATGAGCTAAGTGGAGAGAATGTTGCATCTTCTTCAATGGAACCATGTACCTCAATTACCACCACTGAAGCTGAAGAAAGAGTGGTTGATGCCGTACAGAGTACTCCACCAGTACCTGAGAGAAGAACACAAGAGAACCAGTTGAATATACCCAGATCCTCTACAAATGATCCTCAAATGCCCAACTGGAAACACAAAAGCTCTCATCCTCTTGACAACATAATTACTCCTCTAGATTCTGGAGTACGAACCAGGTCAAAAGCCAAAAATTCACTTGCTTTCTCAGCCTTTCTCTCTCAAATAGAACCCAAAAATATCAAGGAAGCCCTAAAAGATGCAGATTGGATTACAGCCAT